GCCCAAACGCCCATCAACTGGAAACTGGATAAAGAAGATGTGGTTTTTTTATAAAATGGAGTACTACTCAGCCATAAAGAATGAGAAACTAGAGAAGTTTATAGCTAAATGGATGCATATTGAGGCCATACACTTAAGTGAAATAAATAGGACACACGTGTGAATACCAAATAGTTTCTCTAGTGTGAGAAATTGAAAGTGTAAATAAGGATGAAAATGATTAATATGAATAACTGATAATTTGAAATAAGAAAAGGACAAAAGGGTTTGGGGATGGTGGAAGGGAAAGGGGAAAGGGAAGAAGGGAAAGAAAAAAATTATGGGAAAAAAAATAAAAACTAAGATGCATCATGTTCTGGTACAAACACCCAATGATAAATGTAAATGTATTTTATACCTAAAATGTACCAATAAATATATACATATAAAAAAAAAATCACAGACTAGGAAAAACAGGGTATTCAAAAATATATCAATCCAACACAAACACCACACACAATTTAACCTTTCAACGGACATTAAACATATTATTTCCTAGGTCCCTTTCACATGCTAAATACTAGATATACAAATAAGATAATTCAATTTTAGTACAGAAGATACCTAAAAGAGTGTATATAACCTGGCATGGGCGCACAGCTCTGCAATCCCAGGATTTGTGAAGCTGAGGCAGGAGGATCACCGTGAGTTCGAGGTCAGCCTAGGCTACACAGTGAGTTCAAGGCAAATATGAACTACATACCAAGACCCTCTCTCTCAAAAAATAAAAAAATAATAAATACATTAAAAGAAGTTTATGATAATATTAACAAAGAAGACAACATAATTATTATTTGGTAGAATTGGGTGAAGGGAGTTAGGGGCAAAGAATCAGGAGAGTCTCTAACAGAGTCTGTGGAAATAAAGCTAAGAAAGGAATTTTAGACACCATGTGAAAAAGCAACCACAAGCAAACTATCAGTTCCTGTTCCAAGAAACTAATGGTAGTTCATTATTACTGGTATATAAGCAAAGTCAGATTGTAAAGGGTGTTGTGTGTCAAAACAAACAGCACTTGGGCTGGGGATCTAGCTCAGTGATTCCGCTGCCTGCCTCTCAAGAGCAAGGTCCTGAGTTCAAGCCCCAGTACCAACAAAAAAGCTTACAAACAGCACAAGGGTGTTCAAAAGGAATGTATCACTACATTCTTCCCAGCAGACACTTTGGAACCTTCTCTAAAGCACTGTTGCAGCCACTTATCACTATAAAAGGTTTTAGCCCAAGAAATAAAACTGATTTCCTAGCTCATGGAACTATTCTTTCCTAAATTGTAAGCATATCCCTCCAATCATGAACTCCTAAATGAGAAGGCAAAACAAAAGAAAAAAGGCAAAAGAAAGGATACCAGATTTGACAGCAACTGTGAAGAAAAAGTATTAAAACATGAACTAAGGCATGGAAAAAAAGGCCAATTCCAGAATAATTAGATAAAAATCAACAAGATTTGGTATCTGATATACAATTCAAGGGAGAAAGGAGTTAAAGATTTCAAGATTCTACCTGGGATAATAAATGTGTTGTACCATGCATCAAGAGAGAAATTTTAGAAAGGTGAACAAATTTGGATGGAAAAATAAACTCAGTTTGTACTTAGATGTACAGTACAGATGTATAACTCAAACATCAAGATTCTGTGTTTGAGATGTATACAACTACCCAAGAACATAACCAAACATTGTTTACTACCACCTCAGAAGTATTTTCATCTCAATAGTGGAGTCATGCTTCAGTACTAACACTTTGATAACTATCATTATTTTAATTTTTTCTTATACATAAAGCATTAACTTTCTTAACTTGTACATAAAGCTTAGCTTTCATCCAGGAAATTTTAGTATATACAATAAAGAGTCACCAAACAAATGTAATTTTAAAAAGCCACCAGGTGTAACAAGGTTGGTAACACTGATACAGAAGTCTCAAAATTACTTTTACTGAACTGAATCCTAAAATAAACTCAGAATGAAATAACTTAAGTAATCTACAGGTTACCACTTCATTAATATAATTTTCACAGTAATCTGACAAGATTTGTTTAAATTAATGAGTGACATGGATCCATACAAAGTATGTACTTCATAAAAATTCAAAATACTGGGCCAGGGATTTAGCTCAGAAGGCACAGTGCCTGCCCAGCAAGCATGAGGTTCTGAGTTTGATCCCTGGTACCAAAAGAAACAAAAAACCCAAACAATTCAAACTATTAGTACAGATACTATAATTGTGCTATATTGCTGTCCATTAACTTCATACAGAGTCTCAATAAAATGTCAAGGTTACCTAACGGTTACTTTCATTCTGGGTAAGATGATGATGCCCTCTTCTAGGTTTTAAATTCTAACTTTGGTAAATATTCAATTCCATACATATGCTTAACATCATATTAATAAAATATTGTACAGTATGATGCAGAACACAAACCTGAATGTGAATGGGACACAGGAAACAAAAACTGTACAAGCAAAGCAATACAATAATAAAATCTGATTAGTATGATCACAAGGGAGCAGTCAATTCATTTTAAGAACTAAGTATGTTTCTCAACCACAGGTCAAGGATGGGCTTTTGGGAGGGCTATCATGTGTTAGAGTCAGCGCCTACCAGCACTCCAGATCACACTACATTACTCTTCCACACTCAATATTTGTAACCTGAAAATAATAGTAGTTATACCAGAGAAATTAGCAACCACAATAAATGAGGACTTTTCTTCTAGAAAAAAGACTGTTAAACATTTATCAGCACACTACTGTATATGTATATGTACGTGTTAATCTTTCTGAAATGAAAATTCAGTGCCTTCACATCAGATTCTCAAAGGGAGATGTAATCCAAGAATGACCGACTAAGAACTTCCAGTAGGGAACTAAAATGCCACTTAACTACAAAAATTGACATTGTTTTATCTATTGCAGAGAAAGGGGTGGGCATGGGAGACATCCATCCTCCCAAATGGTTCTATGTAGGTAACTATATTACTTCCCACAAAGCATTTCAATTCCTTTTTTAAAAAGTTTCATCAGACCTCTACTGAGCAGAAGCTTTTGAAATTATCCATTTTCAAAATAAATCCAAACTCTGATATTCCAAGGTTTAAATTACATACTAGGATATTTAACCTTATGCTAGAATGCTACTTTATTTAGTTTGTATGAATTTCTTCCTACTAATTTATCATACTGTTATAATTAACATACAATAAAAGTAACTTAAAGGAGAACCATAGGACTAGGGATATAGCTCAGTGGTAGAGTGCTTACCTAGTAAGCATGAGGGCCCCTGGTTTGACCCCCAGCCCTACAAAATTAATTAATTAACTGACCGAGAGAACCCATGCCTGGAATCCCAGCTACTTGAGGAGGATGAACCAGGATTATGAGTTTGACGCCAGCCTGAGCAACTTAAGACCTCAATTCAAAAGAATTAAAACTGCCTCACAAGCACAAGGTCCTGAGTTCCATCCCCAGTACCAAAACAAAAAACAAAAAAGAAAAAAAAAACTGAATAAAGAGAACCACAATTACAAAATAAACACACACACACTTAAATGTCTTCAAAGTGCTTTTTTTTGGGTATGATGCTGGGGATCAAACCCAGGGCCTAATGTACATTATGCATGCTACTCAAGCATTCTTATCACTGTACTATACTCACAGCCCTTAAAATGTTTTCATGGTATGTTTAGTGTTCAAAATTAACTTACCCTGTTGATTGACTACTGTCAAGTTTCTGTAGATCATTGTATATATTTTCCTTATTGGAAGAAAAAAACAGAGATACACCTTTTAAAATAAAAATTCATTACACTGAATTTAAACATATTTTTAACTGTATATTTAGTACATGAATTACTACACATACTGAAAACCACGTTTGTTTTTTTTTGGTACTGGGGATCAAACTCGGGACCTTGCACTTGCAAGCCAGGCACCGGAACCACTGAGCTAAATCCCCGGCCCTCAAAACCACATTTTAAGTCACTACATTCAAATTATATCCCTGGCAAACTTCCAGGCCCTAAAAAGCACCAAAACAGCAACACAATGATTACCTGCAGCTACTTTCAATAATCCCAATAGTTTCTCTATCTCAAAGAATCACATCCCCATTTTTTGACAAGTGTTTTCTGTTTAGACTTCAGCAAAAGATCCAAAGGAATGAGGATGTGCAAGCAGGAGGCAGGTTAAAACCCATCATAGGGGCCGGGGATTTAGCTCACTGGTTCCACTGCCTGCCTCGCAAGCCCAAGGACTGGAGTTTGAACCCTGGTACCAAAAAAACCATTATATAGAAACTGAATCACCTAAGATCAATCATTTAACAGATTTTCTTCCTTGATCACAAAATTTATTAAAGAACAAAGCAATATTCATCAATACAGAATGAGAACTTAGCCATGTACCAGTCACTGTTCTGGACACTGCGGAAATCAGAGAAATCTTTGTTCTCATGGATTTATATATCCTAACAAGAATTAATTTATTCCAGTACTCACTGAGGTCTGTCTTTCCTCTTTTGTTTTAAACTAATGTTCAGACAATGTCTACTTGTCAAAAGACATCATTTCTCATTCTCATGATTAATTACCAACCCCAACTATTTTTTTTCACTCTTGAGAATGACTGCTACAATAACTTTTTTTTTTCTTTTGCAGTGCTACAGATGGAACTGAGGCCTTTGAGTATGTAGGCAGGCCCTCTACCACTGAGCTACACCCTCAGCCCAATAGCAACTTAAATCCACAAAAATCAATTTTCCTATCCAAACCCTTTTTCACGTCAAGTTTCTCCAGTTTCTAATCTCTTATCCTATCAGAATTCAAATCAAGGATAATCTTAAGATTATGCTTTCAATATCAAAACAGTACCTCCAAACATTATTAGAAGATTAAATACTCAAATGATACAAAAACCACCGTTTTTTCTTAAATTTATAACTAGACCTTTTATTCCTAAGCCAAGTATAAAATAACATGAATAGATATTATATAGAAACATGTAAAGATGTTTCTATAATGTTAAAGAGCAATATGAAGGCTAGGGATGTAACTCAGTGGTATAGAGTATGTTTAGCATGCACTATAAAAATTAAGATAATTTTTAAAGGCAAACTAGAGTTTTGTCCTACTTTTCTTGAACTTTGTCTTTTCCTAACATTCAATAATGAAACATACTTTATCCTTTTAAGAAAATATCCCATTGAGGGCCGGGGATTTAGCTCAGTGGTTCCACCGCCTGCCTCGCAAGTGCAACGACCCAAGTTTGATCCCTGGTACCAAAAAAATAAAGAAAATACCCCATTGAATAACTCTTCTTTAGCTCTAATATTTTTTTCTTGTGGTGCTGGAAATAGAGCCCAGGGCCTCATGCATGCTAGACAAATGCTCCACTAATGAGCTATAGCCCCAGTCCTTACTACTGAGCATTAACACATACACGAAGGGGCCGTAATTCATGTCTCACTGGAGGAAGGCTTGAACCACCCATGGTACATCCATGACCATCCCATCAGGTGGCTTTTTATTAATTTTATTAGTAAAAAGACCAATAAAACTAGCTAGATCTGGTACAAATCTCCCAATGGGACAATCATACATATACCACTGTTTGTTCAACCCAGCAAGAATGTGTTAAATACTAGAATCTAGTGAACAGTTTCAGGCGAAAAGTATCTACCCCACTTACTAAGATATTAGTACGAAGAGTCAACAGACTGCTAAACTAACTGGTACAAATTCCAAATGTAAGATAAGAATGACTGAAAAAAAAAATCTTCAGTTCCTAGTAGAATCATTCTAGAAATTTTTTTTTTTTTGGTACCAGGTATCTAACTCAGGGCCTTGCACTTGCAAGGGAGGCGCCGGAACCACTGAGCTAAATCCCCGGCCCCCATTCTAGAAATTTTATCTGGGTTAAATGCAGCTGATTAACTGCCATAATGGTATATGGCCAAAAAAGTGATATCCAAAGTAACTAAGTCTCAAATTTCAGCCTTTATAACATGGTGGTGTTATGAAGACCTTTGGAAATGACTGAAATAATTTATAATACAAAATAACTACCAGGCCGGGGACTTAGCTCAGTGGTGCCACGCCTGCCTGGCAAGCACAAGGTCCCGAGTTAAATTCCAGTACCAGAAAAAAAAAAAAAAAAGCTACTATATAAATGCTTTCCATGTGCTAAACACTACCTTTTTACACAATGTTTCTTCATGAGATATTTATAACCTTCATGGGCGGTATTTACATTATTCCTATTTTATAAATGCAGAAACTGGGCTGGAGATTTAGCTCAGTGGTTCCGCCACCTGCCTCGAAAGCACAAGGACCCGTGTTTGATCCCCAGTACCAAAAGTAAAAAAAGGACTCATATAAATGCAGAAATTAAGGCTTAGAGAGGTTATATCAATTTACTTATTCACACTGCTAGTAAACGACAGGGCTAGATCCCCAATACGGGTTTATAAGATTCCAGAGCTTAGGTTCTCAAACAATATGCTATTGAGCTCAGAAATCCAACTTCAGGACTGGGGGTGTAGCTCAGCAATAGGACACTTGGCCAGCATGGAAGTCCTCACTTGATACCCACTATCCTCGCCAAAAGAACTGAACATTGCCATCATTTATATACAGTATAACAATTCACCTTTGACAAAAGGGAATGTGGGTAGAAGCGGAAATGTTTGCCCAGCTGGCTTTTGACAATGAACTAACCAGAATTTACCTGTGCTCTTTCACAGAAAAACTTGGTACTCCAAACAAATCTCCTAGAAGATCATTTGAACAATATACAATATGTTGTTGCTTCTCATCATATAATCGTTTAGTCATAATATACTGGCCAAGATAAAATATGACCTGAAATAGAAATATGATCTCTGAGCATTTTTTTAAAAAACTGTTAGTTTTAAATACACTTAATAATATCCCATTTACCTGAACAGGATTAAACAATCAGCGACCCCAACCATGCAGACTACAACTATTTTGTATTCTTAAAAAAGGTACTTTTAAACCTTTTCCTTTTAATTTGATGGAAGTAGAACTGTTTCTCTAGTTTATGTAAATGTAGAATTTTTTCCCTTGCAAACTGTAAGTCTGCCTAGGTACTTCCTAACATACTAGGAAGGGAAAATGAAGCAAAATGTGAAATTTGCAGAATCAAAACCAAAAACCCACAATATATGGCAGAGACTTAGTCATTTAATAGTCACAAACACCATACAGCTCAACAGCCTCTGAAGTCATCAGAGAAGAAATGACTGGAAAATGACAAATGACCATCTACCCAAAAATTTGGGAGAATTTAGTCAATGAAATAAACCCTCAAAGACAGTAAAATAATTTATACTAAATGATCAAAATAAGAACCCTGAACCACTAATATAAAATTAAATATTTTGGGGCTGGGGATTTAGCTCAGTGGTTCTGCTGCCTGCCTCGCAAGTGCAAGGACCCAAATTCAATCCCTGGTACCAAAAAAAAAAAAAACACTGTTAAAATTAAATATTTTGTGTGCTCCAACAAAAAAGGTAGGCAACCCAGTTTTAAATTATCCCAACACAAACCTATTAATAACCACCTAAACATGTACAGAATTTTAGAGTTTACAATGTAATGTAATCTTAGTCTCATTCTTCTGATATTTCACAGGCTTATCAACTATTACCATTGTATTAGAAACGGGTGAGAGGCAGACTGAAAATATTTCAAAATAAAAATTGTATCTATCCCAAACACACACTTTTTTCTTGTCATTATTCGCTAAATAATACAGTATAACAACTACTTATATTTGAATTTTATAGATAATCCAGAGAAGACTGAAGTATATGAAATGATATGCCTAAATTTGTGTGCAAAAAGCTTATTTTATATGAGGAACTTGAACATTGTGTGTCTGGAGGAGTAATCTTGGAATCAATCTGCTGCCAACAGCAAGGGAGAACCATATTAGTATGTTAACACTATACAGTTTATCATCAGCGTTCAAGTCTTTACTGTCCTTGGACAGGTTTTAAATTTCTATCTACTATTAAATCTAAACTCTGCTTCCTTAACAGATTATTTTATCAAGTTAATCCCAAGTTAACAGGCCTAAAACACATCAATTACCTTAGTACTTTCCTGCAAGTACTGTCTAGGAACTTAACTGGCTAAGCAGGAGTCAATCTTAAAAAAATAATCTTGTAGGACTATGGATTGGAGAGGGGTGACAGGCAGTGAGAAAGTAAGAAAACAGACTTACATTCCTCCTACCAAACATCCCTTCAAAAATTTTATAAATGTGTAACTGAAAAGGATCTGCAATCTCTTCCTATCTCATTATCCTGCTGTAAAAAAGTTTAGCATTTTAAGTAATCTGAGTTCCATAAACTAAGTGGGAGCAATGAGGAGTAGGCATATTTCATTCACATTGAAATTCTGCCTATAATGGCCCCATCTCACTGAAAATCATTCTTCTACGAACAAATTTCATGGTAGAAAACAATACATTACAATGTTGTATCCATTAAACAGAACATGTTCATGAATCAGCTCACCTCTATCCCAGAATTTCAGTACAGTAAATTGTACTCATGTATCTCTAGTGCAGAAGTTCTTAACCTGGGATCCAGGGATGCCCAAGAAGTCCTTGGATAGAATTCAGGGGGTCCATTAATTTGGATTTTAAAAAATTCTGTCTTTATTTTCACTCAATTCAAATTGAAATTTAGTTTTCCCTTCAATTATTGTTTGTAGGCAACAAATCACAACACTATTAGCAGTACCTGTGATTTTGTCACCAATAAAATCTTGTCTTCACAACACACTATGCTTGTGACAAGCACATCAAAATACTTTTATGTCTAACATAAGAAATATATCTGCTGCTAAATTTTAGTATTTAGTGTTAATTTAAAAAGCATTATATCACAAACTTGCTTACTATTTTGATAACTACTTTGTTTCTTTTGTAATCATATTAATTTTATTTCATGAATTTAAAAATATGATTCTGAGGAGTTACCAATCTGAAAAAGACTTTTTTCAGTCTGCCAAATGGGCTCACAGCAGAAAAAGACCAAGAACCCCTACTAGGCTTACCTCTGTCTCTGAATTCCTGGTTGAGAAATGAAAGTCATGCAAGTATAATTAGAATTTTCATCATCAAAATATAGATCAAATGACCACTAAAATATTGCTACTTATTGCAATATCCCTCTTTATGGATAATCTCTTCTATGATCTTGAAAACTATGGTTATACACAACTAGTAAGACATTGGTTATCTTTTACCTCAACTTACCTCTTTCATAGTGTAAGTGTCTTTTTGTGCACCAACAGACTTTAACAACTTCAGAAGCAAGGGCTTTGGTCTAACCTATAAATAAAAAAAAAGCTGCTATTGTATTTGTGAAATTATTCTAAAACTGTAAGGCCTGCAACAAATACATGGAAAAAGAAGTTCAATAACAAACACTGTTTAGCAATTTCACCAAGTTAGACTTCTAAAAGTTATCGGGTTTTACTAAAAGGAACAGAGTATGGAAACTGAATGAAATAGATATCCCAGGGTATGGGAAAATATGCTGGAGAAGATCTATTATATATATTATCAAGCAGCATTACCTGTGACCAAAAACAGTATCTATCAATCCAAGACAGTGAATATTATTTTTCCTCTAGCTATTTCTATCATTTGCCTATTGCCTTACAATCATAAATGGCTGAGATCCAAGCAGCTTACCCAACTGTACAGAACCAATATGCCTGTTGTAAGTGAAATTACAGAAACCAAAGAAAAAAGAATAAGGTAAGTCCTGTTACTAATCTTCTAGAAAATAGGTTCCTGGCTACTAGAAAACTTAAATAACTCAAAGATGATATGGATAATTAAGAGCAGATTTGACACTACAACTCATGTTCCTCGACTACAATTCAACATTCTCTTGCTATTTGGTCTACATTTCAAATAGCTACTTGACAAACATTTATTGTCTATTATGCACCACTGCTAAGCATTGAAAAAGAAAAAATGACATATGACTTGTATTAAAGAAGCCTGTCAACCATATCAGAGGTCTTTGGGGGGGGGGTACCGGGGTTCGAACTCAGGACCTTGAGCTTGCGAGGCAGGCAGTCGAACCACTGAGCTATATCCCCAGCCCCAGAGGTCATTTTTTTCCTAGAAAGAGCTAGAAAGTATTTTAAGCCTTTCATGTCAGATGGTCTGTCCAACTAAAAAACAGAGGCTATATAACCAATGGTAATGGCTACATTCCAATAAAATTTTACTTTCAAAAACAGGCAACAAGCCAAATTTGGTCCAAAGGCTATTAGTGTGCCTGATGCTGGTCTAGAGGTTTTGCCAAGTGGTATTAAGAAACTGACTAGCGCACCAGGGATTTTAACTCAATGGCACCTTGCATGCCTCGCAAGTGCAAGATCCTGAGTTCAAGCCCCAGTACTGGAAAAAAAAAAAAAAAGAAACTGACTAGCAACATAAAGGATGTAATGTGCTTACGCTCTTTCTCCCTCCCTGTTGCTGTTACCAAAATCTGCAAAACTCATTCTTAGGTTTGCCACCAACACACAAATTGGTGTCTCTATAACTCTTTGAATCTGACAGCATCCCCATTTGGGATCTAATGTTCAAAACCAGATTTTAAAATACTATTTCCAGCTAATCAACAGATGACTTAACTGAAAAAACTTAAAATCCACACCATAAACATGGGACATTGTTACTGAACTATAATTATGAAACATTATTTGTTCTGAAATACTTTTTAAAACATGCTTACATATGAAATTTACTTTCAGATTAAAGAATGAACTGTCTCAAAAAAGATTTTTAAATTATTTTCTCAATATTTTTCTCCATCAATTTGCATATCACTTATATAGGGGCCATGTTAATCTATGTATCATTTTAATTTTAGTATATTGCACAAGCGCCCCCTCAATTTTTATATATGCTACATAAAATTACATAAATTTGATTTGCAACAGAAACTCAGTTTTATGTTAAGCCTTACAAAAACATAAATAAGAGAACTACTATAAAATATTCTTCTTTCCAGTACCAGAGAACAAACCCAGGGTCTTGTGCATGCTAGGCAAGCACTCTACCACTGAGCTACACACCTCCAGCCCCATCTCTGCAGTTCAGAAGAAAAAAATAAATTCCAGGTGAAGATTTAGATCCAAAAGTGTAAAATACTAGAAAAATACAAGCTATACCTGCATAATCTTGGGATGTGAAAGTTAAAAGAATATGAAAATTCAAAAGTCAACAAATCTGCCTTCATAAAAATGTTCACAATGGAGAAAACAATTTTTTTCTCTTTTTTCTTTTTTTCTGGAGAAAACAATTTAAATGCAGTATTTGTAAACAATGGAAGTTCAATACACTTGAAATACAGAGAACTAAAGTTACAAAGAAAAATACAAAGAATGGACAGACAAGACCGGGCAAATCCCAGAATAAACATGTGATTTCAAAAATGAAAAGATGCCCAGCCTCACCAGAGGCTAGGACTTTCAAATTTAAACAACAGCATAGAACCTGTACCCCAAAAAGGCGATAGTAATAATTAAGACTGGTTCACATCAATTTATTACATATTTTATACAGAACTAGAAGACAGGAGTTCAAAGGTTCCCAACAAAGGAATTTTAAGTATTTAAGGACATAGAAATGATAATTACCTTGATTTTTCTCATTACATGTATACATGTCAAATTACGACACCGCACCCCATAAATATATACAACTATATGTCAATTTTTAAAAGACTGATACTGTTCAGTGTTGGCAGAAGAGAACACCATCACAACTCCTTTTTTTTGAGACAAGGGTCTCATTTGGTAATCCAAGCTGGCCTCAAACTCGCAGCGATCTCCTGCCTCAGACTCCTGCTGGGATTACACGTATGTGCCATCACGCCCAGCCTGTCACAACCTTTGAGGGGCAATTTGCCAGGTGGCAATCAAACGTGTAATTCAACAAAAGCATTCTACATTTTTACAGAAATAATGAATCAACATCATGTTAGGATTCATGCACAAAGTAGTACTGTTTTAACACTCAAAAACTGGAGGCAAGCTGGGTGTAAGTGGGCAAGTCTCCAGTCCTTACTATTAGGACACTGAGGCAGGAGGATTACAAACCCAAGACTAGCCTTGCAATTTAGCAAAAACCCTGCTTCAAAATTTTTTTTTAAAAGGCTGAGAGCCAGGTGCAGTGATCCACATCTATAACCCCAGTTCTGAGGGAGGTTGAGGCAGGAGGCCCACAAGTTCAAGTCACTCCTGGACAATTTAGGTAGACCCTGTCTCAAAATTTTAAAAAGGACTGGGGATGTAGTTCAGTGGTAGGGCACCCCTGAGTTCAATTCCCAGTACCACAAAAAATTTTAAAAGAAGGGCTGTAGATGTAGCTCAGTGCAAGGCCTGGGTTCAACCACTAATTATCGTTTTAAAGCAGGAAAAAAAGGCAATTTTAAAAGCCTATCAGGAAGGGTAAAGGGGTAGCTCAGTGGTTAGGCATCTGCTAGCATGGGGCTGGATCCCCAACACCATAAATAAGTATCAGTGAAAGTATCAAAAAATAAAAATGGCATACTTGTGCTATGAAACACTATGGAGTCATTAAGAAGAATTCTGTAGATTTTACTTATTGGCAAGTTGTAGAACACCTCCAGTTTAATCTTGTGGTAAAACAACAGATTTAAATTCACGTGTTAATATACTATATATGTAGGTATATAAACACCCCCCCCCAAAAAAAACCTTAAAAAGAGACATGAAGGAGAAGACTGGAATTTCCAGGTTTTACTTTGTGTATTTCTTTCTGTAAGGCCCAAAATCTTTACAACCAACATGAACTATTTTTCATGACTTTTAGAAACCATTTAAAAGGTTAAAGACTGAAAGATCAAACTAGAAAAATTAGGTCACGATAAACATAACCTCAGCATAACATCATCATGCTTAACAATGTAATGGAATACTTAAAGTGCACGGGGTGAAGGGCTACAAAAATACTAATTTTTAACAGTTCACTTTTACTCCATGCAATTAAACCTGAGAAAGTAGAATTTAAGTTAAACACATACACTTTCATTTTAAAGCCTTGCTATAATCGGGGTTTATGGAATGACCGCCTCATAAAATATATTATTTTTAGAAGTTATACTTGAGACAAAAATACCAACCAGGGTCTCTTGTTCCGAAGCGGGAATCTGTGAGGTGCTTACAGCACCATCAGTAGACACAGACATGTTGGTATTGCACATTGGCCTACAAGTAGGAAGAAAACACACACACGATAAAAACTTGAAATAAAACATTTGTAGAAAAAATAAAATTACACATAACGATAGGTCATAGATTTAAACGATATCTTTATAAAGTAAAATTATTACCAAATCAGTCCTTACCTGGATCAATACAGAAAACTTGCTGTACGCCGGTGATCACAGGAGTTTATCTCCAATTGCCAGTGAACACAGCTGGGAAAAGACAAGGTTTAAATAGCCTCAGCTGGAGACAAGTCAGGACTTAGCTCCTCCGACTGCAGATTTGGAACGTGTCTGAACTTGACCAGCCCAAGAGGAAAAGCTGAGTCAACCGGTAACAGAACCAGCCCAGTCTAGCCCAGCTCGGCGCCGCATTCTGACACGCAGCACCTGTCACCACCCGGATCCCTGCGGGGCGCAGCCAGCAGCCCCCAAGCAGCCCGTACCCCGGACTCCCGGGGAGACCCCGTGCCCACGCCCATCCCCGCCCCCACCGCAGGAAAGCGCGGGCCTAGGCCCCGCCTCCCTCCTGGGCGGCGACCTCAGCGCCTCCTTCCCACAAAACCTTCACAAAGCGACGCGCCCCTAACCACAAACAGCACAAAGGCTGGGTTCGGGAAGAGGATGGACACGAGAGCAAGCCAGGGGGGCCCCATTCTCACCTCAGACGCAGAACTGACCCTCGCTTCCGAGCCATACCTGCTCCTCACCGCGCGGCATTTTTGGCGCCCGGAGTGGGGTCAGGGGTCCCCCAGGACACCCCAGTGCCCCTCACCCAGCACGCGGAAGCCCGACGACCTGGGCCTCGGCGACTATTCTCGGGGGCCCAGGCCACTGGGGCGCTCAGACGCACTCAGGGCGGCGAGGAAGGAGGTTCCTGGGGGCGGGAACGGCCAGACCTCCGCCAGGGAGGGGGTGGGAGTAGAGGCTACCCGCACATTAGGCTTCTCGCTCTAATCTTCCAGTCACAGAGCCACAAAGGCCCGTAAGCAACAGAGACCCTCGATGCGCGCCCCCTATCGCTCGCGGGCAGCGCGCCGGAAGCGGCGGCACATCCGGGCGTTTGCGCGGTCGCGCGCCCGACCCTGAGCCTCGGCCAATCGGCCCCGACTCTGCGGAGGGTTTGACGGGACTGGCCCTGAGCTGCGGGTAGGCGGGGCTTTGGCCGCCGCACCGCCCTTCCTCGGTGGCGAGACTCTTGGAGGACTCCTACAACTGTGAGGCTATTTTTGTGTTTCTTGTGTTTACGCCTCCCGACCGCGGTAGAAACTGTAGGCAAATACGTATCCAAGAAACCGAGATTGACAGCTGTATGATATTTTAAGCCCACACTGGAGTTGCACACAAATGAGATATGTCAAGACTTTAAAAAAACAGATTAAAAATAGCGTATTCCGTAGGTTTATATGCCGATGTTTACAACTTGTGGTTCGGGGAGAGGGCGGTAAGCTACTACAGCATCCCGAGCTACAGAGAGGAACGGAGGCTTCTCCGATGGTGGTGACCCAAGTTGGGGGAGAATGAGAAAAGAAAACTCATGGTGGAAAAATTCTTATGCAGGTAACTTCTCAAGAAGTAAACGTTATCTCGGATCAGCCCTCTAGTTGGTAACAGAGACTTTGCTCACGTAATATATGGATTTATTTTATAGAAGTGAATTTCTTTTGCAAAAAGACATTGCAGAGCTACGCTTGTGTCTGCAGTTGTCGATATAGTCATCTCAAAATATGCAGGAGCCATGCGTGGTGGTCCAAGCCTGAAATCCCAGCACTGTGGGAGGCTCACAAAACAAGCACAGCCTGGACAATTTGGGAACTTAACCGTGTCTCAATAAAGGCGAGGGGTAACTCAATTTGAAGGCTGTGAGTTCTATCCTCGGTACCACACATGCAAACAGAAGTATATTGTTCATGCAATTCTGATTCATCTGCTTGCCCATGTAGGTGTGGCAAGTGTTACTGTTACAGTCTAAGAAATGAAGGAGGACAAGAATAACTGACCTGGCTCAAGCCAAAAGCAGTCTTTACAAAGACCAGCTTCTTTTCTGCCAAGTTGTAATCAGTCTTTAACAAAGACCTTTTTTCATAACATATCCTTTTCTTCTTCCACTCCCCAACCTACAAAAAAGAAATCCTCCTAAACATTGTTCGACCTAAATTCTGGAAGAGATCTCTAAAATTAAAGGGTTTTACTGAGCCATCATAGATGCTAAACCAGAAAGAAAGGACAAGCCCTGGACCAAGTTTCCTCAGCCTCCAACAGCTAGGCTAGGTAGCAGCTGGAAAAATGTCAGCCAGATCCAAAAACAGCACGTTATAATGACCATCTCAGGAAAGCAGGCATAAATTATTTATATTGAACCTACATTGGCTATGGATAAAAGGGGTGGGATTACATAAAAAGTACAGGAAGGCTTTAGGATAGGAGGTCAGTCTGTTAGGAGAAGCAACCTTGCCTCGATTGGTTGGGGTGTGCAAAGGTTGCAATAGAATGGGGGAGGAGTGCTTGATGGGGGGAATACCAGACAGGGTCTCTCTATGCTGCTCAGGCTGATCTCAAACTCCTAAGCTCTAGCTGTCTGTCCTGCCTCAGTATCCTGAGTAGCGGGGACTGCAGCCTGGCTGAGTCAAAATTTTAACAGTTTAAAGACTATAGGGCTGAGGGTGAAACTCAATGCCAGAGCACATGCCTAGCATCTAGGAGATCCTGGGTTCAATCCACAGGATTAAAAAAAAATTACCTGGGTATAGTGATGGATACCTATAACCGAGGCTGAGGATTCCAAGTTCCAGCCCAGTCTGGACACTTAGTGACTGTCTCAAAAAGTAAAAAAGGGTTAGGGATGTATTACAGTGTGAAGGGGTTGGGTTCAATGCCCAGTACCAAAAACCTCAAACTAGGTACAATGGCATGTGCCTAGAGTCAACAGGAAGATCACTTGAGCCCTGGAGTTCAAGGTAAGTCTGGGCAACATAGCGATACCTGGTCTCAAAAAAAGAGTGAAACAGTCTTTTGTTCTTTGGGTCCTGTAGCTGGTTACTGATTATTCTCCTCCCCATCTCTTCCTTCTGCATCCCAATGTCTAGTTTTTAAATATGAGACATTTCAGAATTTTTTTTATCAACCAGGTAGATACTTGATAATTTTAATTGCCAACATTATTAGTTTCAGGGATTTAATGTAGCTTTTTAAATATACCATCTTTATCAGAGTAAATATGGTGAGATTTCCATTTCTGAGACCCCATGCTTGACACTGGATGAAAGAAAACCTCCAGCAGTGGAGGAAAATTTAAGCAGAAAAAGATATATGGCTCAGTGGTAAAGAGCTTGCCGAGTGCTGCAAAAAAATAAATTTTTAAAAGATAAGTGATAGTGTTAAATGGATGAACCAATATGAAGGGCCATATAAGTTCAAAGAATTATTCAGTGACTGCAGGGCCAGTTCACAAAGGCCTCAGAAGATCTACACATATTTAAGTCCTGGAGGATGATAACTATTAAAAAGCAGAGAATAATATTCCAGGCCACAAAAAAAAGTCAGAAGTGAAAATATAAAAATACTGTTTAAGAAACAATAAACAGATCAGTTTTGACTTACATGAAAGTCAAGAAAAATCTTAAGAATGTTGAATCTAGTCTGGGCAATATAGTGAGACCTCACCTCAAAACGACAAACAAAAATAATCGCAAAAACAAAAAACCTAGGCGAAATAGTATATACCTGTAGGTCCAGCACTTGGGAAACTGAGATTGGAGGATCTTGAGTTAAAGCCCTGCTTGAGCTATGCAGTGAGACCTTTTTTCAAAGAACACTGAGGGCCGGGGATTTAGCTCAGTGGTGCTGCTACCTGCCTCGAAAGTGCAAGGTCCCAAGTTTGATCCCCAGTACCAAAAAAAACCAAACAAAAAACAATGAGTTTCCATAAATGGCAGGTGAGAGAATGCAGTTTTGCTTCAGATTGTCTCAACACAGCCACTAAGAGCACATTTAAACTCAGAAGGCCCAGGCCAGCCCCCTAAGGATGACTTTCCTCCTTCTCATTGGCCTTGTGTTCAAAAATGTCTTTTGGCAGATTTACTAGATCAGAACACATAGAATCTGTTATTTTCTAATAGAACCATTAAGAAGAGGCAGAAATGAAGGAAGAAGTGATTGGATTTAAGGTGTTAAAAGGATGAAGCAAAAATTCAGTCTTAATGTGTTTTTTTTTAATGGAGTACTACTCAGCCATAAAGAATGAGAAACTAGAGACATTTATAGCTAAATGGATGCACATTGAGGCCATACTCTTAAGTGAAATAAATAGGACACACGTGTGTAAATACCAAATAGTTTCTCTGTTGTGAGAAACAAAGTGTAAATAAGAATTAAAATGAATAATTGATAATGTGAAATAGGAAAATAAAGGTCCAAAGGGGTAGGGGAAGTGGCAGGGGGAGGGGAAAGGAAAGAAGGGAAAGGAAAAATTATGAGAAAAGGAAAAAATGGAAACAAAGTCTTTGTAAATAGGGAAGGGTGGTGCTGGGGATTTAGCTCAGTGGTTTCGCTGCCTGCTGCGCAAGTGCAAGCGCAAGGACTCAAGTTTGATCCCCGGTACCAAAAAAAAAAAAAAAAAATTGGGAAGGGTGGAGGAGGTGAAGGGAGGGCAAGGAATGAATGGGGAAAAAATAAGAACCAAGATGCATTATGTAAAGGTACAAGTTCCCAATGATAAATGTAAAAGTATACTGAAAATGTACCAATAAAAGAATTTAGGGAAAGAAAAAAAAACAAATTCAGTCTTCAAGGACTCAGTACTCAAAATTTACTGTGTCCTGTGGGAGACTAAAATATGCTACCCCAAAACACACATCAATGGCATATTTTGAGATGATTATTTGCAGAAAGGGCAGACAAGAATAGTTTTGCAAAGTTGTGCCTTTATAAAAATATCTATCTACACGAGTAAAGTACACAGCAGACACAAGCGTTGGCATTCTCCTTTTCTTATCTGCCTATGATGATCTAGAAAAGATCCAGGAGAGACTGGAGCTTCAACATCCTGCCCAGACTGAGATGGCCACAGGCTGCTACTTACTCTTCCAAGGGCAGCCTGTGAGATCCCCGGAGTCCTTATCTGCATAATAAGGCGATCTTTTATTCTGCATGTATTTTTTTCCCTCACCCTCCCATAATCTGTTGCCCCCTGCTCACAGAAACTCAAGCTTCTATTCCTTTCTGTAGCTCAGGATATTACAAAACCTTCAGTCCCTTGGTCCTTCTTTGAGTTATACATTGTGTGAGGCTCTTGTGCCTGTACATATAATAAATGTGTATGCTTTTTTTCTGGTAATCTGCCTACTGTTGATTTCAGAGACTGAAATTATTGAACGTTCAGAGAAAAGAGGGAAACTTTTTTTTTCCTCTTTTGTAAAACATTTATTGGTACATTTTAGATAGACATAATAACATTCACCATAGGGAATTTGTACCTGTACATGATATATCTTTTTAAATTTTTTTCCAGTACCAGGAATCAAACTCAGGATCTTGTGCTTGCCAGGCAGGCACAGCACCACTGAGCTACATCCCTGGCCCTGTACATGGTATATCTTGCTTCTTTTTTTTCCCCATTCTCCTCCCTCTCTTCAACTCCTCTCTCCTTTCTTACTTACAAAAGCTTTGTTTCCATTTTTTCCCTTCTGTTCTTTTTTTCTTGTCCCTCCTTCCTTCCTTGGTCCCCTTCTCATTTTTTTTTTTGATCCCATGGTTTTTTGTGTTTTTTTTAATTTATTGGTACATTTTAGGTACACAGTACATTTACATTTATCATTGGGTGCTTGTACCTGAACATGATGTATCTTAGTTCTTATTTTTCCCCCATTACCTATGGGCCCTTCACCCCCACCACCATTCCCTATTTACATAGACTTTGTTTCCATTTTTCTTTCCTTTCCCTTCTTCCCTTTCCCCTCCCCCTCCCGCAACCCCTCCACCTTTGGACCTTTTCCTGTTTCAAATTATCAATTGTTTGTTTTAATCATTTTC